CTATATTAGTATAGGTATCTAAAAGGTATCCTATATAACTTAAGGGCATATAGGAGTGTGCGTCTATATAGAAAAGGATAAGATTCCTACACCTATAGGTCTTATATAAAAGGACAAGAAGAACATGCCTATCCTAATATAGGTAAGGTGCTCTCTATATATATTAGTAAGTTAGGCTATTATTAGGGCTAACTTAGTATAGAATAATAAGTAAATAATTCTATCCTATTATTACACTACCCCCTGCTATAGAAAAGGATAGTCCCTATCCTTTTATAATTAGGTTTAGATCCCTCTTTAAAGTAGTGCTCCTATAAAATAATTCTACCTTTACTTCTACCTTTAACTTTACTTTTTATTTATAGGGTATAGACCCTTATCTATAGCCTGCCTATATCTAGCCCTCTACCTACTAAATTTCTAATTCTTATATCCCTAATTTTTTAAACTTTTAATCTATACTATTAAAAGTCTAGTAAGTTTTAAATCTATACAATTAAGTATATTACTAATCTAAATTAGAGCTATATACTATATAAGTCCTAGTACTACTAGGAGTTCTACCTATTACTTATTACTATTTATATATAAAAGCTATTAGGGCTATTACTTAGGGGAAGTTTAATATTTTTAACTTTAAGTCTAAGAATTCTAAGAAGTACTAGTACTATATTTCCTAGAATAAGTTCTATAATCCTATTTATATCTAAGTCTAATAGGGTTCTTTAGCTAATTATAATAGATTCCTTTATTTACTAGCCTTAAATGTTTATACCTCTAAAATAGCTTAGATAAATACTATAGTCTAGTAGTAAACCTACCTAAAGGCTACAAAAAGGAGGAGACGCTTACTACTTATTAGATAGATATTAAGAAGTTTAAGGCTACTATAAGATAGGCTACTTAAACCCTAGCTAAATATATTATAGTTACTAATTCTTAGACTATAGGAGTAGAAGCTACTAATATCCTTCTAGCTTCTTACTACTCTATTATATCTAAATTATATAGGCTTTATAATAGTATTAATAAGATAGTTTTAGTAGTTAAGAGTATTATATAAGTGCTAGTCTAGCTTTAGAAGGAAATAGTAGTAACTTAGGAAGTAATATTATTAGCTATTACTAGGTTATCTAAGACTCTAAGAAAGATAGCTAAATCTACTCTATCTTATACTATTACTCTAAAACTAGCTAAGCTAAGTACTAAAAAGGTAAATAAAGCTTCTAGTCTAGGTAGGGTTACTTCTAAATTACATTCAAATCTAGGTTCTAATAGAGCTATAGATACTAAATAAAAGGAGGTTTTCTAGGGGTAGTATCCTAGAAACCTTGAAAGTTCTAAAATGCGTGTAAATCTAATAAGATAATCTATAATAGTAAGATAGTATTAGTACAAAGTAGGTTAATAAATTAATCTATACCTAAATATAATATAAATTAGGTTATATACTATATATAATTATTATAAAGTAATATTAGATCCTCTGTACCTTTTTCTTATACCTAAATCTATTTAGGTAAGCTCTATAGGGGACCTAGCTAATTTAGATACTATTAGTAGAATACCTATAATTTATAGGGAGCTCCTGTAAAGTTAGAGGCAGGATACTAAATAGGATTAGGATTATATCTAACCTACTTAACCTTATATTTTAGCTTAGATTAATATAATTTACTAGCTAGGATCTCTTCTACCTCCTATTCCTCTGTACCTTATATAAGGGTACTAGGGGGTTTTAGAGCCTCTTATCTAGGTAATAGGTCTTAGGGATCTTTATATAGTATATTAGGCGAAAAAATATTATAGATCTTAGAACTAGGTAGTAATTAGAGGCGATACGCATTTCCTACTTGTTCTAATACCTTAAAGGGACCTTTGTAGCATTTAGATAGTTTTTAGCTAGGTTATAAAATAGCAAGATTAGTAGTAGATAAATAAATATAGTTACTAACCTTCTAGTTAACTAGATAGTAATAGCAATTAGTAATAGAGCGTATTTAGTCCTAAGCTCTTTCTATATTTTCTTTAGCGATCTTCTATATATTATGCATCTAAGTAGCTAGGGATAAGGCATCCTTATAGTTTAGTTTCTCTAGTATAGTAGATAGGGCCTTTTCTAGTTTCTAATACTAGCTTTACTTTAGTAAGGAGCTAAAGAGGAGCTAATATAGAGCTATACTAATAGATAAATAAGGAAGTGTACTTTAGGTATAGTCTATTATAGGTAATAACTTGCTCTAGTTATCCTAGTAATAGGATATAAAAGGCCTTAGTCTCTAATTAATATACTTATTTATAATCTTAGTTTGTCTATTAGTTTATTTATAGTAGGTAGTAGAGATCTTAACTTTAGTGCCTATAATCTAATAGAATTTAGACTAGAAACTAGATATAAACTAAGGGCCTTAATTAGAAATAATAGTATCTAGAGTATATCTAAATTTATATACCTACTATATAAATAAGGTAGCTATACCTTAGGCGTCTATAGTTTTATAGTAAGGGATAGTAATAGCTTACTTTAATAGGTAATTAATAATAACTATAATCTAATTATAACTAAGTTAATCCTAGGGAAAATCCTTAAAATTAATACATAGGTGCTATATTAGTAGACTAGGGATAGGAAGGGGGTAGAGTATACTAGGGAGTTAGTGCTATCTTAGGTGTCCTCTCCTATATAGGATACAGTTCTAAATATAGTATTTAGAAGTTATCTCTATACCTTTCTAGTAGTATTATTAGGCTAGAATCTAATAGGTTTTAGTAGCTAATAGGTAGGTAGTAGATACTTAATTATAAGTTTTATAAATTAGTCTAGTGTATAGGACTAATATAGCAGGCACGCAAAGTTAATCCTAGTAGATAAGGAGTTTATTTTCTATCTAATAGTGCTTAGGCAACTCTAATCTTTCTATTAGGAATAAGGACCTATTTTCTTAAAGAAGAGTTTTAATAAGTTCTAGGGATCTAAGAGTTATAGGGTTCTAAACTACTATAATTAAAGTAAGGATTAGTAAGGAACACTTAGCTAGGTAGTCTTGCGCTAAGTTAGAGTTAATTTAGGGGTATAACCTATCTAGGGTAATTATTACTTATAAGTAATTATCCCTTTACGTAGTCTTAAGGTTAATTATATCCTATTCCCTTCTACTTAGGATATTAGCTTAGGCGTTATAAGATCTAGGACTATACTTAATTTAGAAGTTAAAGGGACTTATAACCTCTAGCTATCTAGCTTACCTAGCACTAAGGACTTTAGTAAATATATAGTACTCTAGTGCTTAGTAGTCTATATATACTATAATAAGGTGCTAAGTACTTATTAGGTTAGCACGCTATTTCTTAAAGGCGTAGATTATTACAAATAATTCTTTGTTATAGATTTCCTAGTTAAGTTTAGAACTAGTAAGGGTCTAACTAAAGAAGGATATAGGGTACTATTTCCTATTAGGATACTCCTATAAGAGGATAGCTATAATAACTCTATTAGAGGCGTCTATCTCTAGTTTTAGAGGATACTTAGGATAGAAGTAAGCTAAGCTTAGGATTACTAGTAGGGCATTCCTAAGCTAGTTAAAGGCTTGTTAACATTCTAAAGTCTATATAAATAGGGTAGCAGGGCTCTAGAGAGTAGTTAAGGGCTTAGCTGTCTAAGAGAGGTTTTCTACAAATTGCTAGTAGAATCTAGTAAATCCTAGGAAGGACTTTACTCTAGTTATTGTCTTAGGAGCGGACTAGTTTTAGAGTACTTTAACTCTCTTAGGATCTACCTCTAAGCCTTTGTTAGTAAGGATATATCCTAGGTAACAGGTTCAAGTTATATAGAATTCGCTTTTCTTAATATTAGCCTGTAATCTAGCTAAACAAAGACGCTTAAGGACTAATCTAGCTTTGTAAAGATTTTAGCTTTAGTTAGCTAGGATAGGAGATTATCTATATAGGGTATTAGATACGCGTCCTTTCGCGTTAAGCTATTAAGCTTACAGTAATCTATATA